TTGTAATGTATGGTGATTAACATAATAAAATAAAATTAAAAAAAATACAATACAATAAAATAAGAACTATTATTTTTATGCTTTTTTATTTACAGCATTCCAAGATAATAATATATGGAACTTGACTTTCTCATTTTGTTTTTTTTTCTACAGGTTTTGTATACATATATAAGTTATTTAGGGAAGTAGAGTTTGAATGCATATCCTATTGTTTTTTTTTTTTAATTTTTAAATTGAATCTATCATGAATATGTTCCAAATTTCTTTTCTTTGTTCTTCCTAAATTATTTTCCCAAGTTGTCTTGAATTCAAAATGAGAAGATATTTTTTTCTGATTTCTAAAGGGATATGTAATTGTAAGAAAATTTAAATATGCAAAATAGAATAAAACAATATTTCCATCACCTCATTTCAAAGAAATGAGTTTCTCCGAGAGAGAAGCAGAAGTTTGTGAGCATATTTTGAAATAAGAAGAGGATCAGGTGATCAGAGAGGCAAGAGAACCTGGAGAGTGGTACTATCAGAAGCACTGTTGTAAAGAATTTTAAATGAGAAAGTTTAACTGAATTGGACTAAAAGTGAATACAAATGAAAAGTAAAGGGACTAGATTTTTTTTCATTAAGTTGTCACTTTTTCACTTTAAAAGCTGAGAAGTGTTAAGTTCAAATTTTTAAATAAAGATGGTAGAGAGTGTGGGAAGTAAATCTTGCACGTAGTAGTCAGTAAATGCTAATTCAACATAATTCTGTGAACACATTTCTTCTTATAGTTGAAACCAAAAATATGTTTAAAAAATTATTCATTTATTAGAGAGAGAGCACGCGTGCACAGGACCACACGACTGGGGGTGCGGCACGGTGGCAGGGTGGTGGGGGGGTGCTGAAGGAAAGGGGGAGAGAGAGAGAATCTCAAGCAGACTCCCTTGCTGAATGAGGAGCCAGAGGCAAGTGCATCTCATGACCCTGAGATCATGACCTGAGCTGAAATCAGGAGTCCCAGCTGAGCCACCCAGGTGCCCCCAAATCTGTTTATTATTATTTTTAATGTGCCATTTCTGGCTAGCATTTAACACTTTATTTCTTTTTTTCCACTTAGGCCTCTTATGTAAGGAGCTGAAGGGGAAATAAAATATACAGGATGAAAAGATGGCAACGTTGCCTCCCCCAGGACCTCAGAGTTTTGTCTATTTTACAAAACAGTCTCTTGCCCTCATTGAACAACGTATTGCTGAAGGAAAAACAAAGGAACCCAAAGAAGAAAAGAAAGATGATGATGAAGAAGGCCCGAGGCCAAGCAGCGACTTGGAAGCTGGCAAACAGCTGCCCTTCATCTATGGGGACATCCCCCCAGGCATGGTGTCAGAGCCCCTGGAGGACCTGGACCCCTACTATGCAGACAAAAAAGTGAGTTTATTGTGACTGCAGTAGTGCAGTCTCTGCTTCTTTTGTTCAGAGAGATATTTTAAATTGAGATTAAGTGGAAGTTAGTGAAAAACCACATCATGACAAATATGGTCAGTTAAGTGCATATGTAGGATATTCAGAATAGGTACTTTTAATTTTTCATCAAAACGGTTCTGTCACTGGCATATTATTTTGATATCCTTAATGTTTCAAAATATTCAATATAATGTTCTGCCTTTTGGGACATGACATAGATGTATACCTGTAGGAATAAAATTACTGTCAATTTGAGAACTAAGACCTGGCATACATCCAGAATGCATTTGCATTCAGGTGACAGCTGAATCCATGGGAATATATAAGATCATTCAACTAGTAATGCATTCATGCTGAGAAATTTGAAGTTTTTTCCACCAGAAAGATGGTCACTTGAGGCACCGAATAAATTGAAAATCTTTTTAACATAGGGTATAAATAGCACCTTGAAAGTAAAGAAAAAATTATTCTCAGGAGAAAAATACAGAGGGTTGGAATAATGTTGTAGCTAGTTGTAGATGTTAACAGATAAGACAAGCTGTGGGTCGGTTTGTATTTGTGTTAGAAAAGTGGAGGGACTTGAGGGGCAAATACAGTTGGATTTTGAGTCCTGATATGTTGAAGTCATGCAGTCATGAAGTAAATGCAGGCACATCAGAGGAAATCATGTTAACTGGTGTCAACATTTTCCAGAGCAGAGGAATAGAAATTGTCCTCTGAAAGTCAAATGCTGAGAGTAGCAGAGCTGAGAAGGTGTTTATTACATTAGGAAAATTGGAGAAAGTTGGAAACAACTGCTGTAAAGTTTATTCCCTTGAGAAAATGAGTACACCATTTCTGACATGGTAGCAGACACAACCAGGTTGAAGTTGAAGTTGACTAAGAGGAGTCTGTAAAGGATTAGATCAGCAGTTCCATAACTTCTCCAACATTGCTTTGCCAATATAGTGCCTGTAGACTTAGAAAGGTCAAGAAAGGCAGAATAAAGTCCATTTAAAACCATATTTTGGGCCATTGGGTGGCTCATTCATTTAAGCATCTGCTTTCGGCTCAGGTCATGATCCCAGGGTCCTGGGATCCACCCCCGCGTTGGGCTCCCTGCTCAGTGGGGAGTCTGCTTCTCCCTCTGCCCCTCCTCCCTGTTTGTGCTCTCTCTCTCTCAAATAAATAAAATCTTAAAAAATAATAATAAAAACATTTTGATTTGTTTAAAATATAAATAAAAGGGAATATTTCTTTTTCTTTTTTTAAAAAAGATTTTATTTATTTATTTGACAGAGAGGGCACAAGCAGGGGGAGTGGGAGAGGGAGAAGCAGGCTCCCCGCTGAGCAGGGAGCCCAATTCGAGGCTTGATCCCGGGATCCTGAAATCATGACTAGCCGAAGGCAGGCGCCCAACCAACTGAGCCACCCAGGCATCCCTAAAAGGGAATATTTCTTCATAAGACATCTAGCAAGTAAGATAAAATAGAACATATTTTAAATATCTTGAGAGATATAAAATATAAGTTATATTTTGACAGTAGAAACACATCTACCTCAGTGGTAGTTGCCATGAATAGCAATACCTAATATTTTCCTTCATATTAAAACCAGCATCTCAACAAGTTGGCAGCACAACAATAAAAAATAGAATACCTGTGAAGGCCTTGAAATATTACACAGCATGCTAATTAATCAGTCAGTATTCTGACACAGAAAGGAAGAATGTTAATATGTATTAAGGATCTCTGTGTCAGGCACTGGACTTTTTATATAAATTAGCACACATTTATTATACTGTGAGAAAGGGAGTAATATCCTATTTTAAGATGAGAGAGGGCTTGGGGAAATTAAGAAATATGCAAAATGTTACACCATAGCATAGAAGTTGTAGATTTGTAAAATTCAAGTTGGTTCCCCTACTGGGATATTCTGGGCAACATCTCTTAGTATAATTTAGTTTCTGTTGTATAGCAACCACTATGCTAACAACTTTACAAAAGTGAAAGAAATAATGATGAGTAAATAATGAGACAGGCAAAATAAAAAGTACCGTCTCATTTTACTTATTACTTATTACTTCCTGGCTCAACATGGATACCTACTACATTTCCTATTTCCAAAGGGGGCCTGGATATTATTTAGTCAGCTCTCCCCGCTCCTGCCATAAGGAGGAAAGGAATCTTTCTGGGATAACCCAGGAGTCAGAGATAGACACTAATATTGGCTTAAAGTGACTTGGGAGGTAAGGAGAAAATGTTTGCATTTGAATGGGGGATTATAGACTTATTAACTAATGGAATAATGTTAGCTATTTGACAGACTAATTTAATAGAGAACATTTAGGATGGGACTCCAAACCCTTCGTCTTGTCCCCAGTTCCTTTCAGATAATGTAACAGCAGCCACATCAAAAGCCTAACCCACATTAGCATCAGTGTAGTTGAGTTGAACTAGGTCAAAGTAATCTATTTTTCATGGTTCTCTGTTCTTGACATGTGAACAAATACCTAATGGGATAACCAAGTCTTTTTATTTTCTTTTGGTTTGGAGCTTTAGATGATCAAATGTTATGCCGAGTTCCTCAAACATTCTTGGTAAAAGTAGTTTTGACTTTTGCTTGCAACGTTAGGGTTAACTTTGTGTTTCAAGTTATTCACACTAATTGACAAAAACTTTATTTCTGCTACATTATAATTATTGCTTGGATTAAAATCTTAATGACCCCAAATTTGACTTGGGCTCAGATTTTAATTTGCATTTGAGTGTAATTATCAATGCTTTGTTAAAACAAAGAACACTTAATGATAGAAGTTAGGGCTTCATTTTTATGTGTGATGAATATATAAGTACTTTTCAATAGTGTTATGCAGTGCTTTTATTGTAAATGAAAGTTTGTGTCTTTAAGAAAAAATAAATTACCAATCACCCTCTGCTCTGGGTATTAAGAAGACAGGTACAATGTCTTGTTATCTTCATATCTTCTGTGCTTTATATGTTGCCTATAATTTCAGCAGCTGCTCCCAACATTGACTAAGAATTTACAATGTGCCAGAAACTTAAAAAGCTTTACAGGCAGTAAATGCTAGCTCTCAGGCTGCTAAACGGTGGTTCTGATATTTAGAATCACATCTGTCCAAACAAAAATATATGCTCTTTAGGCACCATAATTTTCTAATTTTATGTTCAACAAATTCTTAAATAAATGAGCAAAATTAAAAGAATTTATTCAGACTTTGACATCTATGCATTTTGTAGTAGGATTTTAGAGTTTATTAAAATGACCTATACTGATCCCTCAAATTTCATTAGGCTTACTTATTTTTCCTACCTATAATTAACTCCTGGGTGTGTGTAAACCCAGATATTCCTAGAGAAGTTTTTGATTTAAATAAACATTGGACATTTAAAATTAAAAATATCAAATGAATTCTGTTTTGTAAAAATTTCAAGCACAAGGTAACTTGATCTGGCCAAGTCTAGGCAGCAATGTTGTGATTTTCACGTTAGCTCAGCTGACCTCTGGTTCAGGATGTCTCCCTAATAATTCTGACACACGTGTGACCCTGTCTCCTCCATACTGTCACACTCCATTTGTATTATACTTGTCACATCTTGCTTTGTATTCGAGTTATTGTATATGCATTACTTTTCTAGGAAGTTTCTTGAATGCAAAACCCATGCCTCATTTATGTTTAAATGCCTTTTATTGTGTCATATGCCATAGTTGCTCACTACACAATTGCAGAAAATAATAGATGAATGAATTTTAAAAAGCACAGTGTGTTAAGATTTAAAAAAACAGTGGTTGTACTCAATGACTAGATATTAATAATTTTCAGTGTAAAAGTGAACTTTATGTTAAATTATGTTTAGGCGTAACTGGTATAGTGAAAGTGGCCAGGACTGTAAAGGGACATCTGAAAATAGTAGATTCTGATTTGTTTTCTTGAGAACACTGCCACATAACAATTAAAAAGCAACATACTCGAATTTAGGTCCCCAATTTGGTGAAAAATATTTATTTCCAGAAGCCCATTCATAAACTTATATAAAATTCATATTAAACAACAAAAGACCAAGTCAATGTCTTCTCAATAGCACAGGTATTTTGCCTAGCAACTATAGAAAACTAAGACAAAGATTTGAACTTGGTCTTCCTAGATTGCGTTCATGTTTTCTTATTGTTGCTGTTTATTTGTTTGGGTTTTTAAATTTTTAACTAAATAGCAAAGCCATGGAGACTGTCCCTTATTGTGCAATGGTTACATAACACCTTTCAAGAATATTTGTTTCATCTGTATTATTTTTAAAAATTACTGTGGGTAGGAGCAAGCAAGTCCTTTACTTTGTATTCATTTATTTTAGCTGTTATTAGAATTATATCTAGAATAGGAAAATTGAACTGGGTAATAGGATTCTTCTAACTCTAATATTCCTTAAATTTATGAAAATGTGTTTTTGAAAGGACTCATATTTTGAACACTTGCTATTAATCATGATAATAGCCTACAAGTATTAAAATCCTCAAGGCAATATGGCAAAAGTCAGAGATGCTAGTTTCTATTTAGTTTGCTTAAAATGCAGTGAAATGATAGAAGGAAATTGTATTCTAAACTAATACCAGTGGCCAGACTTACTGTTACTGATTTGGGTGTTAAAGGGATATGAAAAAGAGAAGATGCTATATTTTGGGAGCTCTAGGCAATCCATGCTCACAAATGGCTCACTTCTTAATTTACTAAGAAGAAATGGATTTAGTTCATTGGCCAGTGTGACTTAAACAGCTCCATTAATGGCAGTGGTATCACGTTGCTTGAGTCTGATGGCAGTGTTTCTTTAATATGACCCTACCACGTGCACATGCGGTAAACTGCTGATATAAACGTGCTAGGGTGAAATTTTGGATTCTCAATTTCATGCTGTTTTCTTTTTCTCCCACAGACTTTCATAGTATTGAACAAAGGGAAAGCAATCTTCCGTTTCAATGCCACTCCTGCTTTGTACATGCTGTCTCCTTTCAGTCCTCTAAGAAGAATATCTATTAAGATTTTAGTACACTCATATCCTTTTTTAAATGATTACTAGCATTGGTTCTTTAAAGTGTAGTTTTTGCGGGACACCTGGGTGGCTCAGTCGGTTAAGTGTCTGCCTTCAGCTCAGGTCATGATCCCAGGACCCTAAGATCGAGCTCCACATCGGGCTCCCTGCTCAGCAGGGAGTCTGCTTCTCCCTCTGCCCCTCCCCCTGCTCATGCTCTCTCTCTCTCTCTCTCTCTCTCTCAAATAAGTAAATAAAATCTTAATAAATAAATAAAATATGGTTTTTGCTATTTATTCAAATATAGATTTTAGTCCTTTTGTACCTGAAAAGACTGGTTTTAGTTTACCAATTTCAATATAATTTGGTGTAAGTCTCAGAAAATTGGGAGAATGACAATTTTAGCATTTTAGGATAAATTACTTTATATATGACTCCCTTGTTTAAAGAGATTAAAAGAAGAGTTATAAACTCATAAAGAATTATTTTCTAGGAAAAAGTTGTTAGCATTTTAACAAGTGTCATTATCAAGTATTCAAAGCTCCCACTGTGTTCTCTTATCATATTCCTTGATTCTAAGCTACCTTATTCAGCATGCTTATCATGTGCACTATTCTGACGAACTGCATATTTATGACCATGAGTAACCCTCCAGATTGGACCAAGAATGTAGAGTAAGTGGGTATAAATACATTTTAATATCATCTCTGTGTTATTTTATTCCTCTTCTTTCCTGCCACAAAGTTACCGCAGCTCGAAAAATTGTGTTTATCTTCCCATGTTATGTGGTTGCTTTTCTTTCAGTTATTTTTTCTTCCTGTGGTATTAACCTGCTACCGGTAGAATAGAATAATCAGATGCTACCGTCTTTTCTAGAAGAAAGAAAATATCAGGTGTCCTGCCTTGTTCTTAGACATGTGTCTTTCTGATAGGAGTAATGTAGGACTTTTCCAGGCAGATCTAATACCTATCTTCTTAGTCATTTTGAATACCTCTACTTTCTGTAAGAATTTCGATTATGGACACTTGAAGATTTTCTGGAAATACCTTTCCTGTAGTTTATTCTAATAGAGTGGATCCATAAGCCAACATCCACGCTCCAATAGATGCCTTTCTTTGGTTGATCAGAAAAAATAAAGATTTACATGGTGCTGTATTCTCCTCATATTTAATATCCCATCGGATTCTTGTGTCTAGGTATACTTTTACTGGAATATATACTTTTGAGTCGCTTGTCAAAATCCTTGCAAGAGGCTTCTGCGTAGGAGAATTCACTTTCCTTCGTGACCCATGGAACTGGCTCGATTTTGTCGTCATTGTTTTTGCGTAAGTACATTCAGTTTTTTGAAATGGCAAACTCGTGAGAATGACAGCACAGTAGTCCAGTAAGAACAAGCCTTTGGGGTCTGACTTTTCCTGTATGTAAAGGTTGCATTTAAAGGATACTCTGTGAAAGCTAGTCATTGATAGGCAAATATTAATTTTTGAGAAAGAGCATTTCTCATTCAAAAGGGTATGATCATTAAGATTGATCTTCTCCTCCATGCTCAGCACTTGGATGGATAGTCTATGCAATGCAAGTAAGGTTCACACCTTTTTCCATGTCTTATTTAAAAACTAATAAAACCTGTAAGAATCACAGAAAAAGCTCAGGCCTTTAATTATAACCTATACTATTCAAGAGCTAGTAAGTATATTAAAATATAGAAGTAAATCTTTTTATAAGACCTAACACTGCATACTAATCCTAACATCAGTGAATTGTATGTGTATTACATCTGCAGCCACAGTTTATTTTTAAGGGAAAAATATTACATTAAAATATAATTTAAATTAATTCACACTGCTGTTCTTTTCCCAAATATATTTGCCAGAAATATTCCCTTGTTTTTTGAAATCTCAAACCTGGATACAATATTTTCCCTCTATCATCCTGAATTTTAAAAGTAATGCATGTTCATTGGAGGAATTTAGACAATAGAGAAAAGTCTTAAGATTTCTGGTTTCCCATTCCCTCACCACCCTGCCCACCTCCTTGTCCATCAGCCTCGCTTCTTTCATGGTCACGTGACTGCTGCAAGCTGTACCTGCCACCTGCTGATAAGACAACATTGTGTCAAAGAAGGCTGCCTCTTCTCAGGGGTCTCATTATTTTAATTGAGATATAATTTATATACCATAAAATTAACCCTTTTAAACTTAAAATTCAGTGTTTTTTTTTTTAGTATGTTCAAAAAGCTGTGCAACCATCACTAATCTGTAATTACAGAATATTTCCATCATCCCCCAAAGAAGTCACTTCTATTCCCTTCTCCCCTTAATCCTTGGAAACCATTCATCAACGTTTTGAATCTAGGCATTTGCCTATTCTACACATTTCATATAATTGGAATCATATAGTATGTGACCTTTTGTGTCTGGCTTCTTTTAATTAGCATAGAGTTTTCAAGGTTTGCTGCTGACATTTTATAGGATATTAAGTATCTATATTACCATAATGTTGAGGTCTAATAATTGAAGCATTTGATTGTTTATTTAGGCATTTAAGTGTATGGAACAATTTTAATAATATATTTGCATTTTGCTCATGTAAAAGGGGTCAAATCAAATCTAATCAAATTAAATTAGTTGTGATAGGTGAAAAAAAAAAGAGGGCTTGCAGAACTGTCCATTTAAATAAGAATTTTCCAAATATAGGCAATACCTTGAGTAAAGGCACAGGTAAGTATCATAGACTCTATCTAAATTCTGAATAACTCTGATTTAATTCTACAGGTATTTAACAGAATTTGTAAACCTAGGCAATGTTTCAGCTCTTCGAACTTTCAGAGTGTTGAGAGCTTTGAAAACTATTTCTGTAATTCCAGGTAAGGAGTGATTGGTGCGAAGCATTAGGCCACTCATAACTCCAACTATTTGGGAGTTGTTCTTCGTTTGTTTGTGTGTGTGTTGTCACTGTGTTGTGTGTGAACTCCCTATTACAGATATGTGACAGAGTTTGTGGACCTGGGCAATGTCTCAGCGCTGAGAACATTCAGAGTTCTCCGAGCACTGAAAACAATTTCAGTCATTCCAGGTGAGAGTGGAGTTAAACACCAGGGCTGACTTTGACCGTTTGGAGGAAAGACAAGAACGACTTTCTCTTATGCCATTTTAATTAAGTTTGATTTTTTATGTTTTTCACAATCATTATTAAAAGTCAGCCTTTGAGTTTAATCAACTGCATGGGTCTTAGAGGATAAAGATGGCCGTTTGGCTCATATCTCAACTTGAAATTTTCCCTCCTGTGTAACAGATCATTTTCCATTTTGTTTCGCCAGGAATGAAAATTTCAATTTGTTTTTATTGCTTTTCATACAGTTAGGAAAAGAGATAAAAAACATCAGCATGGGGGTATTGCATGTCATACTGTGTTTTTTAGCTTTCCACAACAAACCATTTCTTAACTGAAAATTAGTTAAGTTGTCACTCTATGCTGCAATTCAGCCTCTTTGTTTTAATGTCTTTACAGAGAGATGGTTTGTTTGACAAGCATTTACTAAACTACTAATTTAAAAATTATTTTTACAAGCGAATATGGGTATGGTGTGAGCAACCAAATTATTCATTTTGACGATTTGGTTACTCTTTGGAAACAGTTTACAATTTTTATCATTTGCTGTACTACATAGAAACAAAAAATATATAAAAAACAGCAAATCGACCCTTTTGAGCTAGTAGGCTTTTTTCAAACTAGGTTATATAAGGTCACTGATTTAATATGGTGCATGCATGTCTAGGCAAGCTTGTGTTTTGTTTTTATTTCTCATTCAGAGGCTTTATTTCATTAGGAACACTTTTTTTTGCCCCCTGTGTTCAGGACTGAAGACCATTGTGGGAGCTCTGATCCAGTCTGTGAAGAAGCTCTCTGATGTCATGATCCTAACTGTATTCTGCCTGAGCGTGTTTGCCCTGATTGGGCTGCAGCTCTTTATGGGCAACCTGAAGCATAAATGCCTGCGGGATCCGCTGGAAAATAATGAAACATTAGAAAGCATAATAGATACCCTTGAAGAAGAAGACTATAAAAGTAAGAATGTCCCTGAAGTTGTTAATAGATTGAAATAAGATTGTTGTCTTTTAGCAATGAAATGTTGCTTTCCTTTTAATTATTTCAAAATTGCTCGAGTATATAGAAAGTTGCCGCAGTGTGCATTTGGATCCTGTTGTATTTTCATAAATCTCCCTGGTTCTAAGCTTTCTAGCAGTTCTGGTATTAGACACATGATATAGTTCCATAATACCCAATTTCTGTAAGATAAAAATGAATAAATTTGCTCTAGAGAAATACATTTGGCTATGACTTAATATTAACCATTACATTTCGTCATAAGACATATTATGTGTTTTATATACTATAGTTTTATTGTATAATTCATACTTAGGTTTATAGGGTAATTTATTTATTATATGATAATATAATTATGTTTTTACATTTGTATTATATCTATAACATATAGTTGTGTAAATCCTAGTATAACAATCATTAATTATCACATATTAAAATGTCTGCTTGATAGTATTTCTGAAGATTTGTATAAAGCAGAGTGGGTTTACTCAGCTTATCAGCACTATTCCTATAATCAATGATGAGTTTCACAGCTCTTTGTAAGGGCTTCCCTCAGTCTAGCCAGTGGCATTATATCAAAGTTTAATTCATCAGAACTAGTTCTGTAGCAAACATATGAGTCGATCTGTACACACAGTCTCGAAGTCTTCTTAATTCACAAGTATATTTTAGAATATCTTACAGAAAGCCTGAACTGCATGTTTTCTGAACAGTTGTCCCCTAACACAGTTTCTCTTGCCAGAGCTGTTGATGAATTTGGGTGAAAATGAGATCAAACAAGATTGTGCTTTCTAACACCTGCAATGTGTCTGTATGATGCTGCCCACATGAACCCATAAACTTTAATAGATACTTAGATCCAGAGTGGGGGTGGGGACGTCAAGATACATATACAACCTTCCAAGTGTATATGCCTTTGACAGAATAAGGTCATGGAGTAAAGGTCAGGATTCTCCTTGGATTATGAAGAATATACATCATTTTCTTACTTTACTAAATGTATACTCTCCCACTCACTGGGGAAGATAAAAGCAAATACAACCTAGCTAATATAGTAAAAGACTGTAAATAAAGAAAACAAAAAAAAAATATAGAAGCCTAAAATGAGAAAACTGAAAGTTTTCAAGTAAAATATTTAATGTAAGATTTCTTTACTACCAGTGTTTGATGAGGAATTTAGCATATTTTCCCTTCCAATTTATTTTTACTTATTTTTTAAGTTTCTGATTTTTATTGGTATAATCTTAAATTTTATTTTCAATCTACAAAGAATTTTATTCCTTAATTTATATACTATAAAAGTAATATATCTTATGGATAATTGTTCACGTTTATGATTAATAATCGGTTTACAATACTTACTCAAGCTTAACTTTTTTTACTGGGATCACTACCAGTTTTTTTTTATTTTGATTACATGTAGGGTTAAGGTTGGGCCAGGTTAATATGATAGACTGAGAGAAATACTTGGAAGTTGTGGAAATTGTAAAAGGATGATGAAAACAAGTGTCTATTGGATTCTAAACTGGACAAGGAAAGACGTAAACCCAGGAGTTGGTTGATAGATTATGAGAAAATGGGGAAGTAAACGAATTGGAATTCTTGAAGAGATGAAAGAATTACAATGGTAAAGGCAGCCTACAGAGAAATCCTGAATATGTTCTGAAAGTGTTTTCTGGTGCCTACGGCAAAGCCTTTTTTAGAGGTGTTTTTTATAAATGTATTATCAAATAAATGAGCCCACTGTCTAACCTCCTGTTTCAAAACATACAGTTTATAGATTTCCATTGACGCCAAGCATTGTCTACTTTGATGCTCATCAAACTTCCTTCTTTCTACTGCAGGTGAAGGAAAGGTTCATGTGCACAGTTGGTAGCTAAATTTCCAGTAGCTATCATACATTAATATGGTGTGGTTCTGTTGGGATAAAGAAAGATAGTCTCTTACTCCTATTTTCTAGGTGTTTGACATTTAATAAGAAAAGTTCCTGGAAAACCACAATATTGGTCACACTACTCCCAGGGCTTTTCCTGTCTTTTTCTATAGTGCTTTCCTTGTGGGGACTCCACAGAATACAGTCTCCCAGAATGCAGTGTGTCACTTGCAGGCAGGCATTCTGCCTCTACCTGATCCCCTGCACTAGTGTTCTCAGAATTGACTTATTATTGCCTCCTGGTTGAGGAATAAACCCTTGATTCCAAAAGCCTAAGTCATATATAGTTGCTAAAAGCTGTCTTTCTGAACCAGGTTGGATAAAATTAATCATAGGATATTTAGGTCACCACCATTCTGTACCCAGTGGCCTTGAAATTAATAAAAAATTTCCTCAGAATCTGCACTTGATTGTCAGTTCCAGATTTTTGTTGTGTGGATTTTACAATTTTCTATTTCCTTTTATCCCCATATGTCTATTACTGTGAGGTTGGGGCTTATCTATTACTGTCCACAACCTTTGTTATTATACCAAATTACATCTATTCAACAGCGTTAGTGAGATAATTCACATACTATAAAATCCTCCTTTTTAAAGTATACAATTCAGTGTTTTATGGTACATTCACAATATAGTCACATTGTGCAAATATCACTAATTTTAGAATAATTTCATCTCCCACAAAAGAAATCCTGTACTCATTGTCAGTCACTCCCCATTCCTTCTACTCCCCAACCCCCGACAACCACTTATCTACTTTCTGTCTCTATGGATTTACCTATTCTGAACATTTTATATAAATGAAATCATACAATATGTGGTCTTTGTGTCTGGCTTCTTTCACTTAGCATGTTTTCAGGTTCCTCCATGCGGTAGTCATTCATTTCTTTTTAATTGTTAAATACTATTCCATCGTATGTACATACTACATTTTGTTTATTCATTCATTAATTGATGGACATCTGAGTAGTTTCCACTTTGGGGAATAATGCTATGATGGACATTCATGTGTAAGTTTTACAGTGGGCGTATGTTTTTTGTTTCTTTGTTTCTTTGTTTGTTTTTTTAATTATGTTATGTTAATCACCATGCATTACATCATTAGTTTTTGATGTAGCGTTCCATGATTCACTGTTTGCATGTAACACCCAATACTCCACGCAGAACGTGCCCTCTTTAATACCCATCACCAGGCTAACCCATCCCCCCATCCCCCTCCCCTTTAGAACCCTCAGTTTGTTTCTCAGAGTCCATAGTCTCTCATGGTTCGTCTCCCCTCCGATT